CCCCCAAAACCCCAAAACCCCAAAACCCCTATATAATTCTGTAATACTGAAGGCATTATAATAATATTTAAAATGAAAAAGATTGCTAGTTATATTGGAAACTCTATAAGGAAGGCTGACCTTTTCCCTCAAAAAGTTAGTCTTACTTATAGAGGTAAGCCCTTCTTTCAAACTTTGGGCGGAGGATTACTCAGTATGATTATTACAGTGATAGTCATTGGTTACTCTGCCAGACTCTTTATGATTATGATAGAGAAAGAAGATACAGCCAAAGCTCTGAACACAGTTTTCATAGATCTTCAAAGCTACGGTCAAAGTTATGAACTTAATAATGATACATTTCAGTTCCCATTTACTTCTTTGGATACTTCAACTGGAGAATTTTATTTTGATCCTTCATATATAACTGTGTCGATAAGTCAGGAGACTAACTATTATGACCTTAAAATAGGAGCTCGCTCATCACAAGAAGAAGTGAGGCCATTCTCTCTTTGAGGAGGAAGATTTCCAACAGTTAATGAAAACTTCAACGACACTAGAAATATCTTAATGCAAACTGCTCAATGCCCTCTAAACAATAGCTTCAGTGTACAAGGGAGTTACTTTTCGGAAATATATAAACAAGTAACTATGACTGTTAGTAAATGCAACAACTCAACTTCTTAGGTGACATGCAAAACCCCTTCAGAGATAGAGCAGAAGGTCGCTAACACACAGTTCTTGATGAGCTTCACAAGTAGCTACTTTGACTTCGACGATTATGAAACCCCTGTAAAGACTAGCTTTGACACAAGGTATACTTATGGCCTAAACTCAGGTGTTCTTAAGATTAAGAACTTCTACATCCTAAAAGCTGAGGTTAACGATGTCAATTCTTTCTTCCAATTTGGGTAGAGTGACCAAATGGAATTCTTCCGTGTTGGAGAAGTCCTTTCAGACTTTAAGATGACAAGCTATTCACATGATGAATTGCTAATTATTAACATCAACCATGATACCAAGATTCTACAATACGAAAGAACCGTTTTCTCATTCTTCGATGCTATCAGCAACATTGGAGGAGTCTTTGGCTTACTTCTCCAAGTAGGAGTAATTCTCACAGGTAGCTTTAGTGAGATTTATTTCCTGACATCGGTATTCTCTTATCTCTATACCACATGCCAAGGAACTTTGGTAAAGAATAATGTCAGAAAGGTTCAATCAAGGTTAATGCATCATAATAAGTCAATGAGCATTTCAGAATTAAAGGAGACAGAAAAACCTTTTTAGCCCTGATCCAAAAGTAATTTTTATAAATGTATTCTCTAACTCGCCTTCAGAAGCCTGAGAGCGGAAAACCCAAACTTGCGAGCAGCTTATCAAATACTTGAGAACAGCACCTTAAAGGTATTAGAAGAGCAAAGTTCAGCAGTTGCGATTACTGAAAGACATTAATACCCTTCTTTCCTAGTAAATCAAAACTAGGGTTTGAAGAGTTGAGTGACAAGTTAAGGTAAGAGATAACTGAAAACTTTAGCCAAGAGTTAGATGTAGTGGAGATCATCCATTCAATCAGAGCCATCAAGGTCATTATGAAACTCTTGCTGAAAGTGCACCAGCAAAGACTGGTGAGTTATAGTACCCAGGTGCAGGATCAATTGACCCAGATATTTTCAGAAAAGTTTAGTAAGTAAGGAATAATATATTAAGACAAAATACCTGGTCGGAACCAGAAATTTCCAATAGAAGCAGAGAAAAGTGTTAATTCTTTGATAGATACCCTCAAGCCGATTGATGTAGAAGATGCTAATCGAGATAGTAAGGTTTTTGTATAAATGACAGTTACCAGCATTCTTGGCTTACAGGTCCAGGAACCAGTAGTCGAAGAACCATTGGCCAGAAGAGAAACAAGGCGATTTGGTACGCATTTACCAGAACAAGCTTCAAGAATCGACTTCCTCGAAGAGGAGCAAAAGGAGAATGACAAAAAATATGAAGAAAAAGATTGGGATTTTACTTAATTATTCAAACTGAAGGCCTGATATAGATTCCAATATATCTTATATTCATAGGGGTTTTGGGGTTTTGGGGTTTTGGGGTTTTTGGGG